CCATCCTATACAGTAAATATTCCTATTATCCCCATTTTACAGATAAGAAAACTGAGACTTAGAGAGGTTAACTGACTTGTTCCCAACTACTCAACTTGCAAACAAGAATTTTAACTGCAACAGTTTGAGGAACCAAGAATATTCAAACATAAATATATCACAGCCGCAACTTTCAAAAAGCTTCCACTGTAATGATGGAAAATGTACCTGTGCTGTTCATATTTAATTTATAACTTTTTATTTAAGAAAAATACAATCACACTGAAATACATACTGAAAACAGCATTAAAAAAGTATATGGGAGGGGCGCCTGGGTGGCTCAGTGGATTAAAGCCTCTGCCTTCGGCTCAGGTCGTGATCCCAGGGTCTTGGGATCGAGCCCCACATCGTGCTCTCTGCTCAGCAGGGAGCCTGCTTCCTCTGGCCTCTCTGCCTGCCCCTCTGCCTGCTTGTGATCTGTCAAATAAATAAATAAAATCTTAAAAAAGAAAAAAAAAAGTATATGGGAGAGGTAAGTAACTCTGCTTACCAAACTCAAATAGAGTTAGGAAAATCCCTGGCCCAGGTGCTCAATCGGTTGGGGACCCAACTCTTGATTTCCACTTGGATCATGATCTCAGGGTCCTGGGATCAAGCCCTGTGTCCCATTCTGCACTCAATGCAGAGTTTGCTTGGGATTCTTTCTCTTTCCCTCTCTCTGCCCCTCCCCACCCAAATAAATAAATAAATAAAATCTTAAAGAAAGGAAAAGGGAAAAGGAAAAGAAAAAGAAAAACCCCTGACCCAAAGACAATGCTAAGGAGAACAAGCACCAAGCAGTGCCAGGTAAACATCCTTGGCGCCACTGTCAAAGCTGTAATACTAGTTAAAATGTATCACTGGTATGTTATATTCCACCTTTATTCCTATGGCCAAAAGGAGTTTGGAAATAATTTCAGTAACATAAAAAGCCATTCCTTCTCAGTATCTTCCCTCTTCACTTTCTTTAAGATAGCATGCCACTCCCTACTCCCCATACTCTATCTCCTTTCTCAGACTTATTTTTCCTCATAGCACTTATCACTACCTGACACTACATTGTACATGTTTGCTTATGCTTATCCTTCTCTATACAATGCAAGCTCTAAGAAAACAGGATTTTTCTCTGTTGTCCACCAACATACCTCTAGCACCTAAACAGTACACTAGTACGTGTCAGGTACCCAATAACACTGATTGAATGATGACTGAAGGGTCCTCCTTTAGGTACTTTCTCTCATTCAATTCAAACAAACAGGATTGCTTTTCTTTTTTCTTTTCTTTCTCTCTTCAACTAAGAGATGGTAAGTGAAACAATTTCCTGTGCAACCGCAGAGCAGTCATTAGAGGTCAATAAATTTTGGTACCAGTTTATCAATATTTTCAAGTTAACTGGGCATCTCAAAAGGACAAACTATAAAAGTTGTACTAACTCCATTTTTAAATTTAATACTTTGGAGAAACTACTATGTAACAAACACTGTTAAAAATAAAAGATAAAAGATAAATGTGACATAGTGCTGAACTGAGTAGCTCACAGCCTAGAGGGGCAAAATTCCATTCCTCAAACCCATGCCAATTCACAGAGGTCCATCTTCAGCTTTAACTCTTAGACCCTTTCTGAAACACTAACTCGTTTAACCTTCATAAAACTCGTTTTAATATTCTCTTCGCTTTACAGAAGTGGAAATGGAGAATCTGAAAAAATGCCTTGAAAAAAATTCAACCACAGTCCAATTAACTGCCTTTCAAAAATCCAATCCAAGGTCCTCTGACTCCAAATGGTATGCTTTTCTTTCACTTATTCAACAAATATTTACCAAGCAATCACTATGTCCTAGGTCCTGGAAATGCAACAGTAATCGAGGCTTCGACCAAACTGACTCCAGTCCTAACATGATACCAAGCTGTTACTTGCTTTAGGACCCAGAACAAATTATTTCACCTCCCCAAACCTCAGCATCTATAAAACAGAGATAATGCCTACCTGGCATGATGCATAATGCCTGGCGTTCGCGAATGGCAAAAATAACCACTAATACAACTCATTACAGAGCACTAAGAGGGAAGAGTGCTTCCGTTTAGAACAAAAATGAGGCCCAAGACAGTTAAGTCGCCCCCAAGAACGCCAGCTTCTGCCAGCCCCTACCAGGCTCTGACTCCGCGGACTTGGGGACCTCTGCACGCGCCCTGGCACTTCGCTGGCCACACTCGTCGTCTACCCGCAGACGTCGGACCCTGGCCCCTTTTTCGATGCCCAAGGGATTCCCCAAGCAGCTATCAGGCAGAGACTAACACACACCCCCAGCCCCCCGCCTCCCCGAAGGCCAGACAGGAGGAGCCGCCCAACGGTCCAGGCCAGAAAGACCACCGCCTTTGCCCGCTGGGAAAGCAGGACCGGACGGAGTCACCCCGGGGCCACTACTCCTCACTCGGTGTTCACCTCACTGTAGAAGGTCATAAATGCTTCCTCGGTGCTCCCTCCGCCAGCCGAAGCCCCGCTTTCTCCTGGAGCCGCCATTTCCCCGGCCCAGCAACCACGTGACTCCCCTGCGCAAGCGCAGCCTCCTGTGATACTTACAGACCCGCCTCTCTAGCCCCGCCCCTTACTTGTGACTCTTAAAGGGTTCGCAACCTAGCCAGACATCTCTAACTACTCTTTTTTTAATTGAGGTGAGATATACACAACATATAATTAAAATGAATAATTCAGTATCTCTTATTACACTCACAGTGTTGTGCATCCACCAAACTCTGTGTAGTTCCAAACAGTTTCATCACCCCAAAAGTTTACCTGACACCTATTAAGTAGTTCCTCCCCATTCCCCCTTATACTCAACCCCTTACAGCAATCTGTGTTCTGTCTCTATGGCTTTACCTATTCTGGACATCTCATAAATGCAATCATACAATATGTGATCTTTTGTGTCTGCCTTCTTTCACTGAGCATAGTGTTTTCAAAGTTCATCCAAAATATAGTATGTGTTATTTTTTCATTACTTTTTATGTCTGAATGTTATTCTGCTACATAAATATACCACAATTTGTTTTCATTCATCAATTGATAAACATTTGGATTATTTCCACCTTCTAGCTATTGTGAACGATGCTGCTATGAACGTGTGTACATGTATTTGAGTGTCAGTTTAGGGCAGGGTGTACATACCTAGAAGTGAAATTGCTGAGTCTTTTTTTTTTTTTAAGATTTTATTTATTTATTTGACAGAGAGATATCACAAGTAGGCAGAGGCAGGCAGAGAGAGAGGGAAGCAGGCTCCCTGCTGAGCAGAGAGCCCGATGTGGGGCTTGATCGCCCGCAGTACCCTGACATCATGACCTGAGCCGAAGGCAGAGGCTTAATCCACTGAGCCACCCAGGCGCCCCGAAATTGCTGAGTCTTATGTTAATTCTGTATTTAACTTTTTAAGCCACTGCCAAACTATTTTCCACAGTAGCTGTACCATTTTACATTCCCACCAGCAATGTATGGGGGGTTACAGGTTTTCCTCATCCTCACCAACACTGGTTATTTTCCTTTTTTTTTTTTTTTTTTTTTTAATTACAGCCAATCCTAGAGCCTACACAATCCTTTTTTTTTTTTTAAGATTTTATTTATTTATTTATCAGACAAAGATCACAAGTAGGCAGAGAGGCAGAGGCAGGCAGAGAGATAGGAGGAAGCAGGCTTCTCGCTGAGCGGAGAGGGATGTGGGGCTCGATCCCAGGATGACCTGAGCCTGAAGGCGGAGGCTTTAACCCACTGAGCCACCCAGGCGCCCCATACACAATCCTTTGCACAAACTCAGTAAGACCTTACCTTGAGTGCCTAGTCTAGGAGATAATCAAGAAACAGCAATTCCTGAAAAATAGATCAGTTTCTGAAACTAGAATGGCACTTAAATATCACCTAGAAACACAGGAAATTATTACCACTGGGTAGTGAGCTTAAAAGTGATTATTATTTCTATCCTTCTGCTTTTGTATTTTTCCAAGTTTTCTGCCACGAACATTTGAAAATGTGCCTTGCAGGCATTTCCTATCATTTAAGTCATACAAACTAGGGCTGGTATTTTTCCAACCAAAAGATGATCAATAAAAACGGTTCTACAATTTCATAGAAAGCAAAGAAGGTATTTTTATAATCACAAATAAGATAGTCTGGCCTAACGCTCTCATCTAAAGGAAGAAAAACTGGGCCCAGAGAGAGAAAAAAAAAATGACTTAGGAAAAGGCTATAATCACTATGGTCTTGTTCACATTTGTTAGATGGTGAAAGGAAGGTCATGGCAAAAACTTCCCCCACACTCCTACTTAAGCTTTTTCCACTTCATTACATCACATTGCCAAACGTCCAGTGATCAAGCCTGTTCAATTACATATTAATACATTTTACAAATATTAATTCAGTGTCTACTTGACCAAAGCTCTTCTTCAAATGGTGAAAAGCACAAAGAGAGAGGGAGAAAGAACAAAACGTAGCTGTAATAGAATGACTAAGGAGGTCGGGGGTTGTTTCTGAAGTGACTTTTAAACTGCGACTTGAGTGAAATGTCAGTGCAACAACAGAACACTGACATCTCTTAAGAGACTACATACACATACACTTATAAAAATTTTTCCCCAGAACGCTAAGTTGGAGCATCCTGGACATACCCTCTTCCCCCAACCCCTACATTAGATATCTTATCGATGCTAGTAGTCCAGGAAAGGGAAGGCTTCCTTTGGGATGCCTCGCTCTGATGGGTCCTCACTCTGATGGATCCAAAAGCCCGGATTTGGATTTCTCACACCGTCCCTAACTCCATTATTAGTCTCCAGGCCTTTGGCCCCAAGGACCTTGCTAGTGATTGGCTAAGAATAGGCCCGCCTCTCGCTCAGGACTCGCTGCGAGCTGCAGGAACCCCGCCTCCTCCACTTCCTAATTCGCTACTCCTGGGCTCATCCCGCCTCTCCATCGAAACCATTGGCTGCCTAGCTCCCAGAGTCATTAGCGCCTGCGGAGAGGCTCGACCGCGGGTGACTGGAGAAGTCCTGCACCAACAACAATGGCTGTCGCGACTTCGGCGGCCCGGATTTGGCTGGGCGTGGGGGGCTTTAGGGCCATGCAAGCCCGAGGCTTCAGCTCCGAACGGGTACGCCGGCGGTAGTGTCCGCAGCCCCAGCCCTGAGCGCGGGTTCCATCTCCCCTTCGCACCTTTACCGACGTTCCCATCTCTCTCCGCAGTCAGACTCCAGCGCTGGCTCAATCCGGGAGGCAGGTGGGGCCTTTGGAAAGAGAGAGCAAGCTGAAGAGGAACGATACTTCCGGTGAGGTCCACGGAGCCGCGATTCCAGTCCAGATCTCTCGGGGCCTTCCGATCCTTCTTAAACTTATAATCGTCCGGGCACCTGGGTGGCTTAGTCGGTTGAGCAGCCCACTCTTGGTTTCCGCTGCCGTCGTGATCTCGGGTTGTGGGATCGAGCCAGGGGTCGGGCGCTGTGCTAGGAGGGGAGTTTGCTTGGGATTCTCTCTCTCCCTCTGCCCCTCCCCCACCGCTCTCTCGCTCGCGCGCGCTCTCTCTCTCTCTCTCTCTCATAGGTAAATAAATCTTTAAAAAGGAAAAAAAAAAAATCCAGTAGCCCTACCCGTCCCTCCCTGGTCCTTTGGGCGCCCGTCCCCCAATAGAACTAGCGGGCCCTGAACCCATTACCCCCAACACTTGAGGTCTTGATTGTCACCACCTATAGGGCGTTCCCGGTGTGCTGCCGAACAGTTCTGGGGGCCCAAACCCAAGCCATTTACACCCGCGGGTCTCCAGAACTCTTCCTGAATCACTTACCATGCCCACCCACGGAGTTCTCCCCGGTCTTGTAAAATGGCTTCCAGATTTTTCCAAGATGTCTAGGTCCCACTGCCCAATACTTGAAAACACCCTGAGCCTGATTCCCTCAGCCTTCAACCACCCATAACCCTTCTACTCTCTATTTTCTCCTCCCCATGGAGTCCCTGGCTCTCCAGATCCTCAGCCACTTCTAGACCCCAAGTCTTCAGTTCCGCCAGAGTGCTTCCAACCAAGGCAGCAGCTCCTAGTTGGAACCCTCCGCTCCTACTTCTTGGAGACTTTAGCCCTGCCCTGCCCAACCCAGCCCAGCCCAACCCCTGGACTGGATAAATTTCTCCTGCATAAGAGTACAGAGCAGTTTGCCCAAGGGACTCTTTCCTAGCCCTAAATTATCATTTACTGACTTCTGTCCACAGTGGGGAGCAGTGTGGACCTAATCTCACTTCTGCCTCTTTTGCTTTGGTCTAGCTTTTAACTTCTGCCCTCTATTGCTCACTCTTAAGAACGATCAGCATGGCGCCTGCCATACCAGAGAACCAAGGCACAGCCCTTAGATACCATCTAATTTGGCATCAACATTTTACACTTAAGGAAAACTGAGGCCGGTATGTGCCCAAACCAACATTTGAATGTCCCTTCTTGAGACCTAAATTGGACTTCCAAGTACTTTTCCCCCTTCATTTTGACCTTTACAGTGAGCCATGCATTTCCCTAGGCAAAGAAAGCCCTAGATAAATTGAGATAGGATATGTTTTTTTGTCCATCCTTCCCTCCTTTTGCTCTGCCCACCCTACCCCCACCCCGAAAAAAAGGGATTCTGATCTCTGGGTGCTTCCTATCCTAAGGTATATGAGACTTAATGTTACACCTCTTTGGAGTTTTCTAAAGAGAAATTTGAAAGGAATAACTCATAAATAATGAAATTTCAGGCACTGGCACCAGGAAAATGGAATCATTTTGGTCATTCTTAAGGTGGATATATCTCAAGATGGAGTATTCTTTCACTAGTGGGGCTTGAGCAGGTAGAAGAGGATGACCAACCAGATTCTAGTGGGATTGGGACTCCTGTTCTTTGCACTAGGTATCATACGTTATGCTTAGAGGTCTCTGTGGGTTAACGATTGGGATTTAATGCAGAGCCACTGTATCCTTGTAGAGCACGCACTAAAGAACAACTGGCAGCCTTGAAGAAACACCATGAAGAGGAGATCACCCATCATGTAAAGGAAATTGAGCGTCTGCAGAAAGAAATTGAGCGGCACAAGAAGAAGATCAAACATCTAAAAGACGACGATGATTAAATGTGTGCAGTTCCCATAGAATATCATCGCCCACTTCTGTGGAAACATAGTTCTGGCTTTATTAATATCTATCTGTGCTGCCAACAGATTATAATAAATTGTCATCAATGAATTGTGTCTAATGCCTTTTTCCACCCTCTGGAAAGTACTACTGGACTTATAAAATGAATCACATAGGGGCCGCTCAGTTGGTTTAGCCTCCAGCTCTTGATTTGGGCTCAGGTCATGATCTCAAGGTCGTGGGATTGAGCCCCGCTTCAGGATCCCTGCTCAGGGCAGAGTCTGCTTGAGATTCTCTCTCTCTCTGCCTTCCTACTTATGCGTACTCTCTTGCTTTCTCTTTTTCTCTCTCAAATAAATAAATCTTTAAAAAATTAATCAGGGGCACCTGGGTGGCTCAGAGGGTTAGGCCTCTGCCTGCCGCTCGGTCATGGTCTCAGGGTCCTGGGGTCAAGCCCCGCATCGGGCTCTCTGCTCAGTCTTTATTGTGAGACCCCATTATAAAAAGGCCTTCAGGATCATTGACAAAAGTTCAGACAAGTCATTGACCTTACTCCTGCAAACAAGATACTAGATGTCTGTTTCCAAAACACATGTCCAGTGTGGATGCAGCTAGTGGAAAGTTTATAGACACTCCTGACATGTGAATGCTGAGATTCAAGTGGCCAGCAATAAGATTACCTCAAAGATGGAGTGCAAAAAATAATGACAAGTCACATGCCTTCTTTTTTTAACTTTACAACAGTACAAAGTTTGAAAAGTTAAAATTTTTAATTGAACAAGTAACATCTTCCATTTTGCATTTTTGTGAGCGTCCCCCTACCTGGCCCTACTAAAAGCCTTAAAAAATCCCTTAAGTTTATAGAGGATAGTGTTCTCATGACTTCTAATCCACAATAGATCTGTTAGAAGGGATGTTCCTGAGTATAACATTTGCTCTTGAGATCGATTTTAAATTAAAATCACTCTAATAATGATCAAATAAAGCAAGCAAAAAGTGGAAGATGAAGAGTAAGCTTGAATTCTTAGGAAGATAAAATGAATAATTTTTGGAGCAGCTTAATTTAAGATGACCTAAACTCATGAAAGTGGTAACTCATGGTCTTTTTGTTGTGACATACTGGTGGTTAATTTTTTCTATCCTGCTATAATAAAAGCAAGATACAAATATTATTTAAAAATACAGTTTAAAAATACCTCCTCGGGGCGCCTGGGTGGCTCAGTGGGTTGAAGCCTCTGCCTTCTGCTCAGGTCATGATCCCGGGGTCCTGGGATCAAGCCCCGAGTCGGGCTCTCTGCTTGGCAGGGATCTTGCTTCCTCCTCTCTCTCTGCCTGCTCTTCAGCCTAGTTGTGATCTCTGTCTGTCAAATAAAATATTTACAAAAAAATAAAAATATCTCTTAAATATATTTGTTTAAATATATCTTTCGAAGGGACGCCTGGGTGGCTCAGTCAGTTAAGGGGCTGCCTTTGGATCAGGTCATGATCCCAGGATCCCGGGATCAAGTCCTACATCAGGCTCCTTGCGTGGCAGGGAGCCTGCTTCTCCCTCTTCCTGCTCTGCCTGCCTCTCCCCCTGCTTGTACTCTCTCTCAATCTGACAAATAAATAAGATCTAAAAATAAAAAATAAATATATCTTTTTAAAATCCTAAAATAATTTATGTGATTTTTTTTAAGATTTTATTTATTTCTTTAACAGAGATCACAAGTAGGCAGAGCAGCAGGCAGAGAGAGAGATGGGGAAGCAGGCTCCCTGCTGAGCAGAGAGCCTGATGTAGGGCTTGAACCCAGGACCCTGAGATTAGGACCTGAGCCAAAGGCAAAGACTTAACCCGATGAGCCACCCAGGCACCTCAATTGATGTGATTTAAACCAGTAACCACAGACACATAGCACAGGTCATAAGATTCCCCAGGTGTTTCTTGGAATTTGGAAAATACTACAGCAGGGTTGTTGTGGGTTTTTTTTTTTTTTTAAGACTTTATTTGTTTGCCAGAGAGAGAGAGAGCACAAGCAGGGGGAATGACAGACAGAGGGAGAAGCAGGCTCCCTGCTGAGCAAAGAGCCCCAGGCAAGACTTAATCCCAGGACCCCAGGATCATGACCTGAGCAAAGGCAGATGCTTAACCAACTGAGCCACCCAGGGATCCCTATAGCAGGGGTCCTTAAACGCCCACAAGTCAGTAGCATCAGCATTGCCTGGGAACTTTTTGGAAAGGCAAGTTCTCAGGCTCCATCACAGATGGCTAAAACTGAGGATTGAACCCAGAAATCTGTTTAACAAGCTTCCCCAAGTGATTCTAAAGTCCACTGAAGTTTGAGGAACACTGTTCACATAGTTTCTCATGACATTTGCTGGCATTCTTGGGCATAGAACACTTTTATAGAAGCAGATTATTATAAAAATACATATAATATAGTTCTTCATGTGAATGCTATTTCAGAATAAAAAGATACATTAAGATTATTCTTGTACAGGGCACCTGGGTGGCTCAGTGGGTTAAGCCGCTGCCTTCGGCTCAGGTCATGATCTCAGGGTCCTGGGATCAAGTCCCGCATCGGGCTTTCTGTTCAGCAGGGAGCCTGCTTCCCTCTCTCTCTCTCTGCCTGCCTCTCTGCCTAGTTGTGATCTCTCTGTGTCAAATAAATAAATAAAATCTAAAAAAAAAATTATTATTGTACAAACCATATTAACATTTGAGAACATACTATTTCCTGGAATAAAATCCTTTTCGTTTACAAGTAACAGATAACCAGCACAGTCTGGCTTACAATGGAGAAAAAGAGATTTTTTTTAAAGAACAGTTGCTATTGTCTCAGAATCTCAAGAAAACTTAAACAAAACTCAGGAAAGGCAGGGACCAGAGAAGCTCTGACAACTGCAAGAGCAGATTGTTGAAGCAGCTTCATAACCATCTGTGTCAAAATCATTGGAGTGATTTAAGATTTCTGTGGAATTTTACACAATGAAGTTATGGAAGTTATTTAACAAATACACAAAAATATATATTTATGAATATGTCACAATTACTTGCTCATTAAACCTCATGAGACTTCTGGCAAACAGATCCAGGCCATTCTTTTTTTTATTTATTTAAATTCAATTAGCCAACATATAGTACATATTTAGTTTCAGATGTAGTGTTCAGTAATTTGATAAGTTGTATATAACACCCAGTGCTCATCACATCACGTGCCCTCCTTAATGCTCATCACCCAATTTCATAAGCAAAGTAACCGAAGCAGGGAATTGTGAAGTTTCTCAAGGTGAAACAACCAGGTTTCTACTGAGCAAGAACTTTTCCTTTGAAGCTCCTGCTCCCACAGGGGCAGTTAAGCATCTGTCTTGATCAGTCATGATTCCAGAGTCCTGGGATTGAGCTCTGCATCAGGCTCCCTGCTTAATGGGGAGTCTGCATCTCCCTCTACCCCTTCGCCCTTGCTTGCGCACACCCATGCTGTTTCTCTCTCTCTCAAATAAATAAAAGAAATCTTAAGAAAGAAAGAAAAAAGAAAAGCTCCTGCTCCTACAGACTTAGGTTGCAATCCCAGTGTAGTGGTTCAGCCGCCCATTATTAGTTCTTCCCTGAAAACGTGGGACAGGCTGGGGGCACACCTGATCTGGGAATGAGTGGTAATGGTGAAAACCCCAGGAAGTAAATGTAGAAGTGCCACTGGTTAGTGTTGGCATTGGCATTAGCATTTTGGTTGCATCAGGAACCCTATCAGTATGTCAGTGCTTGCCTAGATGATGCAAACACACGTTTGCGATGGAGTCTAGTTTGAAATTTTCACATCAGAAAGTCCGAAGTTGTAATTCCCAACCCAGGTAGCACATCGAAATACCTGACAGTTTTAAATTTAAGCCAAAGTCTCAGGACCAATATCTCTGAGACCAAGGTGTGAACTCGGGTATTTTCAAAATGCGCCCCCCCCTTTTCCAATATGTGACCAGAGCTGTGACCCACTGGTTTAAAGGATCCCTACGGATCGGTTGATATGGCTGGGCAGGTTGTTTGCCGGATAAGGACACCTAACTAAAGGGGCCAGGGAAGATTAAAATTCAGCCCATACCCTGCTCATCAAGCAGTGCACTCTAGTTTAAGGGTGGCATCTACTCTGGGTCACCTGTTGTTTAATTCCTATAAAGAGGACCCTGGGTCATTCCATTGTTCTTGAATATGCATTGCTGTATAATCTACATATTCCACGTTCAGATTTTTAAAATGTATTCATTAAAAATATTCTTTAGCATTTACTATATGCTGGCCACTTGGTATCAGTGAGAATACAACTACGAAACAATCACAGCTCCTATCTTTTTTTTTTTTTAACTGTACACCCAACATGGTGCTTGAACTCATGGCCCAGAGACCAAGAGCTGCATGTTCTCCCCACTGGGCCAGACAGGCATCCCACAGCTCCTGTCTTTGTGGAACCCATAGCCTATTGGGAAAAATAAGTGGTTAAATAATGTGGGAAGTGTTCTAATGGGAGTGAATGAAGAGTTCTGGAAGAAGGACCCTGGACAGGCATTCCACCCAGACCTGGGATTCAAAGGGACCTCATGATAGAAGAGGTATAACAGGCCAGGTAAAAAGAATGGGGTGACATTCAAGTCTGAGTGACAGCATTTGAAGAAGTCTGGCATTGAGAGATACCGCGAGTTATTGGGAATTGACAATAGTTCAGCCTGTTCATGTGGAGGATGCCGGGAGTGATGGGGAGGAATTGGCGGTAGGGTGCTAGTTTCTACCAATCTTCCGAGGGCTGGGTTGGCCACTTATAAGCTTCCTCGCTATGTCCTACTCCTCAGTCCTTCCTTCCTCCTTCCCTCTTTCCATCCTCTCTCCCTCCCTCTCTTCCTCCTTTCTCTTTTCTTTTTAGGTAGACTCCTTTATTAGAGCAGAAAACACTTAAACTACTTGTATCCCACGTTGACAAGTCTTAACTTCAAGCATTAGAAATGAACCAAAAGTTTTCAAGCAGGCAAAGGAACAAAGAAGCACGGGGACACACATGCCACTGCTTCACTTGGTGCCACCTGGCACAACCTCACAATACGGACTTCCACTTACCAAGACCCCACAGATTCCCTTACTCATCACT